GAATTGTAACATACAGTTGTGGCTCCCCTAGGACGGCAAGCACATATATTGTAAATTCGTTGTGTGGCTCCTCTGTGTATATATATATATATGTACATACATGCAAAAGGCTTCAGCTCTGCAGAAATCGCAATGCACACACTGTCTTCTTTTTGACACAGACCTTGCAAAGAGTCTTCAAGGTCGCTGCAGCCCGTGGCAACCCTCGGGAAAAGCCTATGCTGAGAACTTAAGGCTCGGGGTTAGCAAACCTAAAGCTGAGGATGTCTCACGAGAGGGGGATCCAGGGCGCAGCTATCGTGTCGACATTCTGTACAAACTTCTTCACAGAAGTCAACCCATTTGGTCTGCTTGGGTGCAGCTCTGCCAAGGCAGAAAAAACGCTCAGGCTGTACACGGATGGGCTCTGCCCTGTGAGCTTTGTGTCGAAATACATAATCGCTCGGCATACCACCTCTGTCCACTTGATCTTTCGCTTTGCACCGATGGCGAACAAGCCGTCTTGATCGACCAGGGGCGTCGACGCCTGACTGTACATCAGCGGAAGCCTCGTCAAGAACAAGTTGACATTCTTCACTGCCAAAGCGGGCGTAAACTGGCGATGGTTCCATCCCTCGACCGCCGCGGCCGGCAAGGGAGCCATCTGACAGGGAGCTGTGGTTTGGTGAAGGCATGTGGGGGGATTTAGTGGTTAAGGTTGTGGTTTTACCGGGCCTGGCTCGTCGACTCCACGCCCTTTTTCCAACTCTCCTCGGCCACGAACTTCTTCAAGCTCTTCATGGACTGACAGGGCAGAGGGTTTCAGGCTTAAGGTTTAAGGTTCAGGGTAAGCAGAAAACCGCTATCACAAACCGCCCTACCTCGTCGGAGTATCGAAGAATGCATCGGTTGGGGCCCTCGGCGACCTCGTCAGGGTTGAACATTGCCACGATGTTCAGCGGATCCACGATGTCGCAGGGGCAGAGACAGGTCGCCACCCATGAGCTGGGCGTCGCCTGCACTAGCTGCAGCAGCCGCACTTGGCCGCAGTGCGCCAGAGGCAGCAGTGCCGCCGCCGGGCGACGGGTTCGGAGCCGCCGTGTGCCATCCTTCAAGACAGCACCTCGCCACACTGTCAGCAGAAGCCCATGATGCAGGGCCCCGTCGTGCAAGTAGAGCACCACCTGTCGCTTGCCGTCCTGGGCCCCCAAGTACCGAACCGGCGCCACTCCCGTGCGCTGTTCTCCATCGAGCTTGTTCGCGATGACCTCCTGCTTCTCAGCCCACACTGCGAGGCGGCTCGTTCGCTGGCCACTGGACAGCAGGGACGCCTGCCTGGCTAAGGCAAGCTCGTGCTGCACGCGGTTCCACTCGTTGTCTCCACGAACGACTCGTTGCTCAACTGTAGCCGGGCTGAGCTCCTTCTCCTGAAGACGGACTCGCTTGCACCAAGAGTCCAGCAAGGGACGAGCTTCCTCCATCCGCTGTTGAAGGTTGGCCACGAGGTTGTCCTCACACAGCTCCGCTTGCAAGGCTGGGAGACCCCGGATCTTCATGAAGAGGTCGGCCACGCACAAGTCCTCGAAGGAGACGGTGTCCGCCGTGGAGACCACCAGGCTCTCGCCCTCGCACGGTTTTCCACCCTCAGCTGCAGCGGCGATCTCTGACTGCAGCTCGCCGATCTTTTCTTTCACGTCCATGTGAGCATCGCAGGCCTGCAGAAGATCGGCTGCATCTGCTTCCTGCTGGTCAACCTCCTCCTCCGCCTCCGCCTCCAGCTGCTCAGCCCAGTTGTCGAGGAAACCTTCGTCGTCGTCAGCCTCCGGCTCCGAGGCGTTGCCGGCGACCAGCTGCCTGCCCCGTGTTTCCCACCAGTGGTTTAGGTCGGCACGCACGAACTTCGCAGCTCTGGATTTGCTCAGGTAGCTCATCCAAAACACCGCATCCTGCATCGCACGTTGCGCCAGATCCGCAGCTTCGTCCATGCTGATGCCCTTCACTGGCTTTGGGGTGGCCCATGTGGCACTCATGGAGCTTTGGTACACCTTCAAATGCTCCAGGAAACTTCCATAGAGGGCATCGCGAATGGCAGGTACGCCCTGGAATGGGCGCTTGATACGTGCGAAATGACTTTCACACACCCGCTCCTGCCGGCACTTGAGGTCCCACGCTGTGCCACTTTGGTGGGTGAGGCAGGCTAGCATTGTGTGAGCGAGCATTTGAAGGAGGTGTCGCAAGGTCTGGTGTGGGAGGCTGAACTCCTGGTGCCGGCTGCCAAATCTCCTTGCGTTCTCGCTGGCATGGAGGCAGAGTAAACAATATGCGCAGCAAGCGTTTGCAAAGGACACCGCTGGGGATTGGCCGGCCAAAATGGCTGAGCTCATGATGGCTCCCAGGAAGATCATGCACCGGACCCCGAGGGCCTCCCATCCGCAGTCCTTGATCAAGATCGGGCTCATGCGCATAAAAGAACATCTGTCACTTTGAGGGTCTTTGGCGGAGAAAGCAGAGGAGCTCAGTCCCCCCCATAGCATGGGGAGGTAATCCACGGGAAAGGACCCGTGGTACACCGTCCGTAAGGCGCTCAGATGCTGTAATGTAAAGTTTTTGAGACAATGATAAACATCCCGAAATCCTGTCACGGCGAAGGACTTGGGCTCATCACCCGGCTTCGGACGTTTTGTCGAGGACCATGTTAGGTAGCCGAATGGGAAGAGAGGAATCTTCCCAATCTTGGTGACGGTGCACCCTGAGAAGAAGCATACCCCGACGAGATCCGAAGGCTGAAGCAAACCCAGCAGGCAGTTGTTCAGGAGGGCATTCGAGGAGCCGTTGTCGTAGGACACCGACAACGGCGGCACGTTGGAACATGCCCGGGTCAATGACATCATGGCCTGCCCAACGATCTCCAAGAACATGTCCCCCTTGCCTTGATCCTTCCCTTG